TATATTGTAGCCTTGACCTCCAATTGAGATAATTTGAATTTCACTAGAAAAAAACAATGAAAATACTAAAAAATTACTTGTGATATAAATAGAAGCTTTTAATTTAAATATTAAGGAGTTGGAGATTTTTTTGTGTCAAAATTATTGACTTCAAAAATATAAGCATTAATCACATATCATGTCAAGCCTTCATTATCTCTAAGATTCTCATCCCTACTATTATGATTGAAATTTTAACTATCTTTTATGTTTTGATTGTTATCAACATCATGAACTTGGCCAATTGTCAATCATTTTTGGTGCTCACAATTATCTTCTTAGAGTTTGATCTCCATCTCTTTTATTCAGCTCATAAGAGCCTTCAATTTATTTTCTATCAACTTTTGGCTTACAACATATATAAGATGCTTTATTGAAGTGTTGTTAGATGCAATTATACCAATTATTTTCAAGTTGATAAAATAAATCATTTCCATATTGTTAATGTAAGTGACCTCTTTGTGCATTATTATAATAACTACCACTGAAGTTAATACTATATATTTTTTTCTAATATAGAATCCATTCAAGTAGACTCTCTAATTACCAAAGTAAAAATCTCCTAAATTGTAATTTTCAATCTTGGCTTCTTAATTTGATGGTTCTTCATTAGAAGATAGCCTTAAACCTAATTGATGAGTTATCAAAGCATTGATCTCCTTGTTTCTAGTTCAAGTAAGCTTCTTTGACATCTTTTTGAGATTCCAGCTTGAGACCATAGAAGAACAAAAGTAAGAGCACTTACAAAATGCTAAGAGTCTTACAATTATAACTTTGATATTATACTATAGGCTGAAGGAAAAATGAAAAATTCAATTTAATAATAAAATTTCTTGATAAAAGTATATACAAGCAATATCCTGTTATTTAAGGAATTGAAGTAACAATGGTAACTAAATCTAAGTTGATACCTTTATATTGTAAGTTTTGAACAAACTCAAGGCTAGATTAAAAGAATGTGGACAATTTCTTCATGAAATCAGAATGTAGCAAGGCCATGATGCAAGCCTTGAAGCTCCTAATGAAGACAACAATAGAGATGACCATGCCAACAACAACGACAATAAGGATGGAAGAACTTTGTTCTCCCATCAATTATATAATATATTAGTTGTAATAACGTATATATCTAAATATATATATGAATATATGACTATATATATATATATATATAAATAAATAATTTATTTGTTTTTAAGTAATTATGCTTTGATAAATATATATTTTAAGGATTTTTTATGTTTTAAATTAATATGTATGATTCTTTGGTTTTAAAAACTTTTATGCACCAAATTGATGTGATACAAAAATATTCGAAAAAAATAAAAAATAATGTAGTCATAATATATATGTTACAATTTAAAATAAAATTTTATATCTATTTTAAGAAACTTTAAATTAATATATGACATCAAATATATATATATATATATATATATATATATATATTTATAAAAAAATTAAATTAATTTAATGCATGTGATTAGAGACTATATATATATATATATATATACATGCATATACCCATACACAAAATAATGCTTTTGATTTATCTTATTAAAATTTAAAGAATTATTTAACCAAAAATACATTTTCTTTTATTAATTATTTATAAATATATACGTAGAAAATTGTGTAAATACATAAAAGAATAATAAATTATTACTAACCATTTTGAATTCATGTAAACTTAAGAAATAAATGGTATGTATACATTTGTATAAAAGTCTTAAAAATAGTATAAAAGAAAATAATAACATGTAAGTAATCTATGTATTAAATAATGAATATTTTGAAATTCAAAGAACAATGGCCTTATATATTCTAAAAAACATAAGTAAAATTCTTATATATTTAAATAACTAATTTTTTAAAAATTTATTTTTAATTATTTGTAAGATTTTTAAAGAATTGAGTTAGAATGTAGGCATAAAGATTAGTATCTAGATGTGACACAAGAGTGGAACTGTAATCATAATTATTTATCAACTAATATAAGATTATTTTACTGAATTTAGTAAAATATGATTTAAATATTTTTTTATTATGGATTAGATATATCATTTTAAAAATACCTTTAAAACATTAGTCATCTCTGTAAATTGTTTCTAATTAATTTTTAAACTCATTTTGCTCATTATTTTCTTTACCTCATCCTTATTAAAAGCTCAACACTGTACATGGTATGAGTAGATCATCTTTTGAATCTAGATTTTTGGATGAAATTTTGATTTTATAAAAAAATTATTTCTACAAACAGCACTACTGTACTATTTGATTTTGTAAATTTGGAAGACTATAAAAATATTTCATTGAAATGAGATGTCAAACACTTGTGCATTATTATTTTAATTAATACAGTTGAGTAAAACAATACTTTGTTCTTATTTTATCTATTTATTTAGAAATATAACAATTATTTTATAAAAAAATAAAAAATAAAAATTGAGATAGTAATAAATAAAGTTAAGAGATAATGATCTATATATATATATATATATTTATATATATAGATATATGCACTGTTGATTAACTTATTACAAGTTAATATAATTTATTTTTTTATTCATATTTTAACAAGTTAAGCTAATTTTTTTTGTTAAATTTTATTTCTATATAAGAAATTAAAATTTAATTTAAAAAATTCAATGTAATTTTTTTTAAGTATATTCTATCGATCTATTTATGATTATTTAAAAAATAACATGAGTTTTAGTACTAAAATTCTACAGAGGATTTTGTCATTTTTGGTTAATTTTAAAATTATTTTCCTATAATATCTTTTCATGTATGTTTAAAATTTTAATTTATTTTTCTAATTTATAAAGAATAAATTTTAGTATTTAAAGTTCTAGGATAAATTATAAGTTATATATATATATATATATATATATATATATATACACACACACACACACACACACCAATAAAATTATAGTATATGTATTTAAATTAAAAAATAAATTTACAGATTTTACGTATTTAAAAATATTTTAAATGAATTCTTTGGACATATTTTATACATTAGTAAATTTTTTATTTGTAAATGCTGGTTATTAATATAAAGGAAAAATAATTTTAAAAAATCTATTTATGTTTTAAATAATTTATATTTGAATTGGATTAATTTATTTTTACAAAATACGCACAGATATTTAATAGTTTCATGCTTTTAAGTTTTTATTTTTTTATTTTTAAAGATACACCTTAAAGAGTAATATTTTTATTTTAATATATGTTATGTTAATATATTTTAACTATGCTAATTCTATCCAATACAATAAAACTACTTGGTTTATGAGAAAGTAACTTGTTCTTGATAATGTGTATAGATAACACTCACAATTAGTAATATTCTTAAATTGTCAATCATAAAATTTAGAGTATTTTGTTTATTTTTGTATTTAGTTATTAAAGAAAATTTGAAAGGATACCATATGAGTTTTAAAAAAATATTTAAAAATCAACGATGGCCTCAATTAATGATAAACTGTACACTTTAAATCTATTTTATTAATAATTTTATTAGTTTTTAGATAATATTTATGTGCATACTTCAAAATATAAGTAGTTTTTTTTTTTTTTTTTTTTAAAAAAAAATGAATACATATTACACTTGAATTATATTTTACTATCTACTATTGTAAAGTCTTTTATAAATATTTTATTATTATTATTTTTAAATATTTTATAAAATAAAATTTAATCAATTTGAGTAATCTGCATTGTCCTAAATTAAACTTTTTAAACTTTTATAAATACTAAATCTTACAAAATTTCTAATTTATTTAGTAAAAATTATTTATTGTATTTTGAAAATTTTAAATCTTTAATATATCAATTTATATAACTGAACAAACATCTTATCTAAATAAGGAATTTCTAAAAATTTAAAGAATCTTAACAACTCCTTCCAATAGTTTAGTAACTTCCAACATAATCAAATTTAAAGCAAGTCTAATGCATTTGTGATAATTTAAAATTATCATCAAACTTTATCAAGTATTGTCAACAAAATAGCTCCCATTAGGAAAATATGAATGTCAAATAAGGGATTATTCTTTATGTCTAAGAATTAAATTAATTTAATAGTAAGAAAATCATAATTTTTATATGATCTCATTTACTTGTATTTATATATAAAATCATTGAAAATTAGATAATTGTTCTTTCAATTTAATTTTTCTTGTATTATTATTTTTATTATTAATTTTATCTTCTTTATTAAATCTGTCTTTTTTAAATATTTTTTCGAATAGAAATATTTAAACATTTGTTGATATTTCTTTAATAGACAACATCAACAAATGACATACTGTAGGTATAAATTTTTTTTTTTTTTTTTTTTTTTTTTTTTGTAATATGGAAAATTTATGTAACAAAAAATTTTAAAAAATGAAAAATGTTGCCAATTAGTTTCAAACATCACACCATTGCACTATTATAAAGTGCTACTAAATATTTTTCAAGTTTATTATGTTGGTCTTATAAAATAAAGTTGTTGAATCTTTTTAGCAAGCAAAACAAAATGGATAACCCTAAAGACTTCTATATCATTTAACTTATTTTCAATTTCTTTTTGTAGTTTTATATGAACTTAGCAAGGGAATTGGAGCAAGTGCAAGCCATAATCACCAAGTCACATCGAATCGGGGATAGTGTGGGATTTGTTTCCTGGTCCAGACAGTTCCGATTCCTAACCGTGTATTTGGCTGTCAGAATAACAGAAGTAGGGTGAGAAAATAGCAAAGGCCTATTATTTATTTCAATGAAAAATAATTATTAACTATATTTTAACACTATCTAGAAAAATTTATGATTTTTGTAATATCCTAAATCTCTTACAATCTACTACACACTTTATCCTTGGCAATAGTCTTGTTATTAAGTTGCTGTAACTTTTTTCATATTTCGTTAACAATGCCACCAAATGTTTGTTACTTCTTCGTATCATACAAATTGCATGACGGTGGGATAGTTTTCCATGATTTTCTTCTCAGCGAAGTGTTTCCAAGTTGATCTGACGTCGAGTGGTCCTGCAATCCCACGAGTCTTTGTGGGTTTTAAGGGTTCAGATTTGAAGCTTAACCACACATTTTCAGTGAATCCAATGCCAGTAAATCACTTGTCAATAATCAGTAGGAAAAGCAGGCTCGAATCCACTTTTTGTTACCGTCTGAGTGATGCAGATTATGTGATTGCATTGGAGAGCCAGTATACTGATTGCGGTAGCTTACCGGTGGAGCAGTTGTTGCACAATCTACACAGTGAAATAATCCATGGGGAGGAGGCAGTAGTGATGGTGTTCAAGCGCATTTGTATTTGTGGGTTTTGCAGAATTGTCATCAATGGAGAAAGCTGGAGGGTGGACATGCGACAGAATGGTTTGCTTCGTGCTTGAATCCGTTGCAGCAACGCATGAAGTTGTCGAAAACTCTCGAGACTCTGCAGGTTTGCATAGTTCGAATTGGGCTTTGCAAAATGAAGAAGAAATTCGGCAGACGCATCTTGTTCTTTGATATCTTGTGCTTTGTGGTGTTCTTTCAGAATTCATTCCTCTTGATACTGCTGCATCTTTGGGTCAGGCGGCCTGTTGGTTGAAGGCGTAGAGGTTGCAGTCTAGGTTCGTATTCCTCGTTTGCTGTGCTTGCTGGCGCAAGGAAAGATGGAATCTCAAGCATGTGACGATTCACTAATTCAGGTTAGTATACCAAAATTGTCTGTATTCTTGATATCAAGTGCACACTACAACTGGAATGTGGAGTTTTGTAAATACGAACCTTCTAAGATTTACAAGTAATTTTTTTTTATAATAATCGGAGAATGAGGTTAACGTGATTACGCATGGAAATGTAGAAGGAAACGTTTAGATTTAGTGATAGTAACATTTTGCGAATTTTGCGACAAAAAGTTTGTGATTTAATTTATCAACTTCATGTAGCGAACCACTGAGGTAGAGAAGAAATGTGTTCTCCGCTGTTCAAGTTATGCGCTTTTCATTCTGGGATTGTGTGCATAGATCTGCAATGAAAGTTTCAAAACGGGAACAATTGAGTGGATATAAGCGAGAAGAAGAATTTCTCCTGGTTTCGGGCTGGGTTTTCTTATTTCTGTGTTGCTCCTGCATCTCCTTCCAACTACTGATATGGATTGAGTGGCAATCGGACGCCTAGAGCATCCGGATAAGTGACCAGATTTGCAACAAATGTCCGACACCGCTCAAGGGGTCTCTGGTGAAATCTTGAGTTTGCTGTCGCTTTCAAGGTGTGCTTGAAATTTATTTATGTTCCTGAGCCAACTTTTGCAGTTCCAGAACCAATTCTAGTTGCTCTTTCCTGCTGGAGCCCATCAAGTCCCCCGTAAATATAATGTTGATGCATTTGAAACATGCATGCCTAATATTCAGAAGCAGTCAGGATAAGTTGAAGAGGTATACGTCATACCTCTGAAGTATACACATGCTTCTTTCTTGACTGTAACTGTTCTCTGTTCTATACCTTGAGTCAAGTCACCTTCTCGTATGCCTTGCATCAGGTAATTTGGGGAGGTTGACTGTTGTACGTGATTGTACAGGACGTCTTTTTTTTATATGTAAATATAAAATCAAAAATTAAGAATCCCTGATAACATTTTATTTTAGTTCACCAGCTTCAACACTCTATGTTGCCCTGTTCCGAGGTTTGGGTTAACTTTGCGGGTATGCCTCGTAGTGATTTCGTAGGGAAAATTCAAGTCAATCACAGCTCCTTGTTCACACAAGCAAGATGATCGTGAAACATTTACCAACCTTTTTATATATCATTTAAAAATGAAGTGTTGACAGGTGAACGCAGCGTTTAAAATCTCGCAGCGAAGGTTTCGATGATTCCCGAATTGCTTTTACAACTCTTTGTGTATTAATATTGCACGAAAAGAAGTTTCTGTTGTTCAACTTGGAAAACAGTAAGTTGCAGCGCTTGACAAGGTTTTTCCTCGTCGTGGGTCTCGATTACCGACAAAAAAACTCTAGTCCAGAGAGTGAGGTTCTGACAATGACATCTGGAGATGTTGCAGGAAGATACTGCGGAGACCGCTCAGCTGATGGTCCAGCTAGAGTTATAATGAGTTGTGGCACTGATTGTGACTATGGACGATATCGAGATGTTGGCGAAGGTAAAAATTTAACGATGCGTCTTCATCAGTCACGGGTTCAAGTAATGAGATCACTCTATCCAAAACGAGACGAAGACGCACAAAAATAGATAACATTGTAATAGAGGACACTATTTCCAAGATCAGAAGGAAGTTGTTGAAAAGGAAAGGTTGGAAGAGTTTGAGGCACTGATTGTCATGGCAGTCACTGTTACTGCTGCATCTGCCAAGGCAGGGGCCGCTAGTCCAACTACAGATGAGAAAGAAGAGAACGACATGAAGTGACTTTGTTGGTCACAACGACAGGAAAGCCCCGAGAACAATGGTGAAAAACCGAAATTATTTGAAATGAGGGCAATTGATAGAACTGACAATTTTCTGTTGTCCTGGTAGATGGACCCTCGAATACACTGGGCACAAGTGTATTGAGATGGCGAGGGCAGCGCTGGTGGGTGAGCAAGTAGCTAGACCAACAGCGAAGCTTCAGCTTATGACATTGTGTTGTAGTGGGGATTATCTGACGTGAAGAAGTTACCTGCATTTACAGAATTGTAGTATACAGTCCTGTCTACAGGTACGGGAAGTCCATCCACAGCAAACACTCACACACACCACACCCTAACAATAATTTTAATTACAATTTCAGATCAGCTGTAAGCTGGGTGTCGGTTCGTTGGACAGTACGAAAGCAACTTTCGGACCTTCAGAATTGCCTCCACCTTGAATGCCATCACAATCGATCTTGGGAACAGAATTGGAATGCATCAACACCATATTTTTTACATAATCTTGGTATTAATCTCGGATTTTAACTTACAAGATGGTTTGTTCGACATGAATGACAGTGCTATTATAACAAATATTTAAAATTATTAATAATCAACAAAGTTTGGATGTCTAAAAGCTCTATTTCCAAATCAAAAAAACAACCAATTTCCAACTTGTTTAGATGGCATAGACACCATCTCTCTTTCAAACCACTTTCTACTAAATTTGCTTTGATATGGATGTGCACATAAATCTAGTAGTCATATTTGTACTACTGATAGTGCCTCTATTTGCAATTCAATTTGAGTGCATTCAAATCCACTTGATACAAATCTCTTTTGACACCATCTCTTCACCACACTTCCACATTATTTGATCTCTTTAGTGTTGATATCTTATTTACAATTTTTTGTTCTCCTACCTTGTTTATTTATTTTTTGTCAAAAGATGATTTTGCAACACAATCAACAACTTTGTCACTGAGTTCAAAGATACAACCTTATTTCTATATTCATAAGGCATTACTTGGATAAAAAGCTAGAATTAAAAATACTTGGACAAATGCTACAAATCTTTTGAAGTATTATGATTATCTTTGGAGCCATGTATTCATCAAATGGTATAACAACTTCATTAACTAAATGGCACAAACAAACAATAATAATGAATATTCTACTAATATTACTGAAGAAATTGAAACAAAGTATACACCTTGTTATTTACACCAATTGTTTTAGTTGGAAGTTCAAAGAAATAGTTTTATAAGACAAAACAATCTGTAAAGATCCATGTTTAAATATGCGAAAGGATTTTGCAAGAGTAGAATGTGGCAACTATGAATATGACATATTCCAAATAAAAATAAACATTTAGAGTCTATATTTGTATGTTTATAGAGAATTTTGAGAATAATTTTTTTTTGCACTAATTACAATTATGCTCAAGAGGATTATTTGTTAGTTTATTTAATGGCAAATAACAACAAAAACATCAATTGGAGCTTGATTGTCAACAAACATCTCTATGTAGAATTTGGCATCTCTTTAGCAATCCAAACACAATTAATTATATTGACCCATTTTTTATTGCATACATCAATTATTATCTTATACAATATCAAAAAACCAATGCATTGCTATAACTAGGATAATTGGTTGAAGTTTGTGAAGAATTGCAATAAACTTACAACCAGTATAAGCAAGGCATAGAGATTGTGGTTCAACCAAAAGCAAATAAATAAAAAATTATATAAGTTGTTGTTGTCCACAACAAACCACTATACAAAATTCAATTCACAATGACTTATCTTTAGTAAGATGTGATTAAGCAATAAATAATTATGCTTGCTAATGCAACACATTAGCTCATGATTTTTTTTGAATACAACAAAAAATATGTCACTTAGCTATTTGAGGCAAACAAGGTCTTAGAATATTGCTAACAAGATAGAGTAGATTGAATTGCAAAAATTTTCCCCTTAAGGATTAGGATTGAGAAGCAACAATGCACCATATACAAGTACCTATGTATCATTGATCAACTACAAGAATTATTAAAAGGTATCTTAATTATATTAAAAATAGTCCAAATAATAATTATTATCCATAGAATTAGCTTCTACATTACCTAAAAACGAGTTGTAGCATTAGAAATATTCTACAATGAAACCATGTATTACAACAAAAAATTCATAATATCAAATATCTAATTACAATGCAAACTTTGTGAGATCCAAGAAAAAAGAGAGATTACTACTAAAGACTTAAAATAAAACACTTGATAATTGAAATATAAATGTTATGTTATGAAAGCAATCCAACAAAATTTTGAGGCCAATTGTATCAATAGAGTTTAGAAAGCAATATACATTGTTGCTTTCAATTCAATTTAATTGACAAAACAAAATTCGAGTATTTAATAGGAAAAAAAAAATCATAATACAATATATCACATATGCCATGAATACTTTAAGATGTCAAAGACATGAAAACCTTAAAAGACTTGTATGTCATTCAAAAAAAATAGATATTATCAAGGATATGAACCTTAAAGAAAGAAATCATTAATACATTCTTTTATCATTCAAAAGAATTAGAAAGTCACTCAAAGATGATATAGTATTAAATTAGAATGGCTATTGCTAAAGACAAGTAGATTAGAAAGTCTTAGAACAAGTCTAAGAACTAAAAAGGCATTGATAAGAGTGAAGAAGGCTTTATTCTTGCTTCCATATATACTTTTAACTAGGAGTTATGTGTCACGGACACAAAATACAGACTTGAAATCTAACAAGAAGTTCAAGAAGAAGTGGCAGAACTAGATCAAACAGATGAGTACAAGAACAACACCAGAAAGGTGAGCTAGAACTCCAAGAGATGTGTTGTCGAGACTGAAGAACTCTTCAGCCTCGATCCCTATATATACTCCTACTTAGGAAGCTTCTCGAGTTACTTCTATTAACTAGGAAGCTTCTAGAAGGTTCCAGAGGCTTCCTTTCTAGAAGGTTCTAGAAACTTCTCGAGCTACTTCTATTAACTAGGAAGCTTCTAGAAAGTTCCAGGGGATTCCTTTCTAGAAGCTTCTAGAAACTTCTCTTCTAGAAGGTTCCAGAGACTTCCTTTCTAGAAGCTTCTAGAAACTTCTCTCTAAAAAGTTCCAGAGGCTTCTCTTCTAGAAGGTTCCAGAGGCTTGTTTTCGAAAAGGTTCTAGAAACTTCTCTCTAGAAAGTTCTAAGGAATATGTCCCTAACATCACCCCCTCCTTTAGCTTCGAGGTCTCTGAGAAGCAATATTGTTGATCAGTACTAACGCAAGAAAATGAAGATCTGTCGCATAACTTCTGCTATGAACTCCAACTGTTGTTCACGAGGCAAGTGGTTCATCGACCCTTGAAGCCAACGGTAGTGGCCCACGCCTTCGACTTCTGACCAAGCATGAACTTCCGTGTCCTCATTGTGAAATTGTCCTGCAAACATGCCTTCTGGTTGACCATCGTAAACAGGCTCGATGTCAAATACGATCACCAGTGATCGGTTACTCGGTATCCTCCGTCGTCGTCGTGGTACATGTAGTTCTTCATCTCGGAGTCGCCTTCGTGAGCTACTCGATTGCGATACTCTGACTGGCATAGTATCTATCTCTTGGCTATCCATATCAAAAGACCAAACTACGATCTATCTTGGAGAAAATAACTGCATCAACTATGAATTTTGCTGGTGCTCTCCCCTTTTCTTATATTGTTGGGAGAACAAGCTTCAGAAAGAAGCTATCATCAAATTGATTTAGGTTTATCGGGATGTCGTTGATGAAACTCCTGTACCTTTTGTGGCGCATTCGTAAGATTTTCAGCTGGCTCCCACGTTCGCTCATTAATGTCATAGCCGCACCAATGAACAAAATATTCTAACTTTCTCCACTTTCGCCGTGAATCCAATACCTTTTCAACCTCGTATTCTTCGTGGTTCTCGATTTCAATACTAGGTGGCGGACATTGCACTCTTCCAGGAAAAGATGACTCTCGATAAGGTTCCAACAGAGAAACATGAAAGACTGGATGTACCTTCATAGAAGCCGGTAACTCCAGCCGGTATGCCACTGGATTAATTTGCTTCTGGATGATAAATGGTCCCAATCTTCGATAGTCCAACTTATTACATGGTCGCTTGGTCTTGATATTTTGTCGAAGAAGCCAGGTTTTGTCTCCAACTTTGAAAGTAGGTGCTAGATTCCGAAATCTATCTGCAGACGTCTTATAGGATTCTTGAGCGGATTGTAATTGAAGCTTCAACATAGTTTGAAGCTCTGATAGTTGCTTCGTAAATCCTTCAGCTGCTGGATTGTTATTTATTGACGAACTCAATAAATCAAGCTTCGGATGATACCCATAGTTGGAAAAGAATGGTGTTTGTTGAGTCGACGCATGGAGGGTGTTGTTATATGCAAACTCGGCTAGCAGTAGATATGCAGTCCAATCGTCTTGCTGATAGTTGATGCTGCATCGTAAGTACTGCTCCAAGACTTGGTTCACTCGTTCCGTTTGGCCATCAATTTGAGGATGAAAAGCTGAAGAAAGCTTGATATCCACTTTCAATATCCCAAAGAGAGATCTCCAAAACTTTGACACGAACTGGGTACCTCGATCTGATATGATATCATCTGGTAGTCCATGATATCAATACACATTATCAAGAAAGAGTCTTTTTGTGACTTCACTGGACGATGTCTTTTTAAAAGGAATAAAGTGTGCCATCTTCGTAAGCCGATCTACCACGACAAAGATGTTGTCAAATGAGTTTGATGATGACAAGTCCGTGATGAAGTCCATAGAAATTGAAGACCATGGTCGACGTGGAATTGGCAATGGTTGTAGAAGTCCATAAGGGCGATGCCGAGGATTCTTAGATCTTGAACAGATGTCACAAGAGAGGACAAAATCTTTCACATCCTTCCACATTTGGGGCCACCAAAAATCTTAGGAATTAAGCTCCAAGGTCTTATTGAATCCAAAATGTGCCGCAGCTGGAAAATCATGGCGAGATTGAAGAACTCGGAGTCGTGCTAGTCCTTTTGGAATGTACAATCGCTCTTCAAAGTATAAAAGATCTCCCTCCACCTTGAACTTGTCGTCATTGGTACGTTGCTTGATATCAATGGCTACTGAATCTTTAATGGTCATAGCACGTACCTGGTTTAGGAAGTCAGCATCAAATGATACAATAGTAGCACAAAGTTAAAATCTCTTTGGCTTCAATAACGTTGTACATTGTTGATCAAACGCTGCTTCTCCAGCCTTTGGTACAAGATACGATCTCCTTGATAAAGCATCGCATAGTCCTTGCTGCCTTCCAAGTCGATAAGTGATAACAAAATCGAATCTAGATAGCGACATATTCCACCGAGCTTGACGCCGATTTAAAACTCGAGCCGTCATGAAATACTCCAAATTCTTGTGATCCGTATATACGGTTACTGGATGTGTAGCTCCTTCAAGAAAGTGACACCATTCTTCGAAAGAA